GGACCTTCAACATGGTCCATAAAGGGTGTGGTGTGAACCCAACGGCTAACGCACAAGCGGTGATGTGTTGTCGACAGCCATGTTTCGACAGGGCGATGATGCAGCAATCAAGGGTTTGGTTTGCATCCGACGCTGAAACCGTTGTGTTATTGTATTGGATTGGGCTCAATTGTTGCATGGACATTCAGCACGGTGCATAAAGGTCCACTAAACCTCTTGAGAAGTGACGATATACATATTCGGTTCATGCAACAATCTTACGTTAGGGCACAGAGTTGTTGGGTACTTCCCGTATGTTTTCAGACCACATTAGAGAACTGGGAGGGTTTACAAACACTGCCGTTGTCAATTATGTTATGTGATGCTATCATTTGCATTCACGTCTGTCTGCCTCCCATCATATGTTCGTGCGTTGCGAGGTGTGAGCGTGTGCAAGAATTTGTGTTTGGTGTGGTTTGGATTCTCTGAGTGTGTGTGGATGTTATTCTACTTGAGCAGATATCTGAAATGACTTCTGCTCAAGAGCTTTCCGACGAACCAAGGATCGCTTCAATCGGAGCAAGAACGAGAAAGATATGATCGTTCGAAGTTTTGATTGTGATGCCGCGACTATGGGAATTTGCGGAGTGACTCAATATGGGGTACAGACTTTTGGGGGTTGGGAAATTCGTCACTTCTACTGTAGTTGCTGCCATGTGGTTGGGAAAAGCCAAACCAGGTTGGCAAGTGTGGCCAAGTTGGGTGAGGTTGATTTGGGAGGTTGGGAAAATGACAAGGGTGGAAGTTGGGTGCCTATAGGGAGGGAAATTGTGTGGTATGGGGTTTCCTTGGTTGGGGACTCCTTGGGGACCTTCCCTCTCGTACTCCTCTCCCCTCCTACCTGGTTTATTGCAACTCTAACTTTCTTGTGTGGCATCTTGTGAGTTAATTGTGATTGAGTTAAGTTGATATGGCAGCATACCCCCTAGTGCGCCGAAATTCATAACTCAAGAAATACTTCACCTTTTTGTACGATTCAAATTGGGAATTGTAGCCACGGACGAGGGCTGCAACATATCTGAGTTTGGTGAACTCGACGTTTCTGTCCAGAATTATAGTTCAACGATTTTGAGTAATTTCGGTCCCTATTCTACATAGACTCCGTCCTTAATCTCTAACAAGTAGTATCAGAGCTGATTAAGGACTTTGTGACGAGTCTACTGAGGTGTGAAGACCCTCCTAGACCCACCATGGCCTGTGGGCGTGCCTAAGTGGAGTTCTAGAGGTTGCATGTGACTTCCGCTAAGGGGAAACTCTGCCGAAATTTCGTTGGCGCCGACACTTGTGGAAATTGAGTGGGACTTCGGTGTGGACAGCAAAGAGGGAGCTCGAACCTGCGATTGGGAGCAGAGGAGATGAATCAAGGGAGTGGAGATACAGCTGAGAAGAGGAATGAGCCGCCACCATCCAAGATTGAGGCATTGGATGGCTCCAACTATGAGGAATGGAGCGAGCGGATGCGGAGTGCGTTTAAGCGCTACAAGCTGCTGAAACTTGCGATGGGAGAAGAGAAGATGCCGGAGGAAGGCGATGTTCGCGATCGGTGGATTGAGAAGAGCGCGGTGCTGTACGACCTCATCCTACAATCGGTCAACAACGACATGTTCCAGCACATCAAGGATTTGGTGGAGTTGGATGATTCCGGACCGAAGGCGTGGAAGCTGCTACGCGACGTGATTCAGCCCAACACGCTGCCGATGGTGATTGTGTTGGAGAAGGAGCTGGCTGCTCTCTGCATGCGACCGGGAGATGATGTGAAGCCAGTATTGGACAAGATTAAGGACACCTACGCGAGGATGGCAGCAGCGGGCAGCAATGTGTTGCAGATGTAGCAGTGCACCAAGATCATCTCGGTACTTGACAACACATGGGACAACCTCATCCCCACCCTCAACACTCAGCAGGACCAGTGGACGCCTGAGTGGCTACGGCAGCAGATTCTGCAGGAGGACTTCCGCATGCGCCACACGGGAGGTGGTGCTACCAACAAAACTACTGAGCGGTATGGAGCTGCAGGAGGCAGCAGAGGAAGAGGGGGTGGGAGAGGCCGAGGCCGTGGAAGAGGCTTTGGCAGAGGGAGAGGCCGAGGTGACTATAATGAGGGGCATGGGAGCTCTGGAGGCAGGGGGAGTACCCGAATGGAGGGAGAGTGCTGGTACTGCAAGAAGGCTGGACATCCATGGTTCAAGTGTTTCAGCCGACCTGAGGGATGGGCGCCCCCAGGCATGAAGCCGCCAAGTGGTGAACGTGCACGAGGTGGCGCCCGGTGGGCAAGGACGACCTCTCCAACGTCGCCATCGTCGATGAGGAACTTGTTCGGGAAGACGAACGCACCCATAGCCGGATCGTGGGGGATCCTCCGCTCCACGACAGCAAAGTGGATCATCTGTTTGACCTTTTCGCACCACTCCAAGTAGTCTGGCCTGTTTTGTTCCGGCTGGCTACTAATTCGCTTGCGACGCTTATCCTGCAGAAGGGGCCATTCGATCTGCAATGTGGTGTAGGGTTGGGTGGATGCTTTATGAGGAGGGGGGGTTACGGGTAAAGGAGCCAACTGAAAGCGGTGATTCAGTCGTCACTATCTACGTAACTGCAAAGGCTTAGTCGACCAGGGATTTAGCTGAAGTACAGTCGAGGCATGGGGGATGAGGCATGGGGGTACAAACACATATCTACATCCTTACCGAAAACAGGCCCCATGGCACCATGCGGCTCTTGAACTTGGTGAACACGACCCCGCCCCTCTTGAAGGAGAGCTTGAACGCATAAGCGAACAAGGGGTTGCTGAAGGGCGTCCCGGTGGCCTTGTCAAAGTGCCAGTTGAGGGCCCACTGTTTTGCATTTTGGCAGGGACGGTATGGGTTGGAAAGGGGGTGCAGAGAAATCAAGTGGGGGGATGAGAGTCAGGGTGAGCCACATCGCACGGTGATATGTAGCTGCCAACTGGCATATGGTGGGGCATATGGTGTTTTCGAGTTGCACATACCATCTCTGTACTCGGCTAGGAGTTGCTCGTCGTGGAACCACCTCGTTGGGTGTAGCTCAGTGGGCAGGCTATCCACGAGATGGCTGAAATCGGCAAGGCCCATGCCGGTGTATGCTGCTCGCCTGAGGGTGGAGTTGATTGTTGACCTTGTTGACAACATCTGGTGGTTGAAGACTCCCATGGTTGACTTGTCATTGTGCAACCACAGCAGCTTCATTGACTCAAGCCCTTCTGCAGACAAGTGGACAGAGAACGCATTGAACACTTCCTCCGGTGCAGGGTAGTACTGTATTTTTCCCGGCGGGTTCAGAAACAAGAGCTGAGAGGTCACTAAGTAGGCTTTCTTATGCGCAGGGGTGTAGGGTATACAACACGACATGGGAGAGAGAAACCAGCAGTTATGATTGTGGCCGCGTGACCACAGGATGGTGATTAGCAACACTGTGTGAACTTGCCACGTCACACCCCCCTACCACAAGCCACGTCACCCCCCACCCACTTGACACGCCTCGCTTCGTCATGCGCCGCTCCCGTGTACCCTTTCAATCCGCCACGTCATCCCCAACCCTCACCGTCCGCCACGTCACACCCTCCTGCATCCGCCACGTCCACCAACAACCCGCCCCACTTGCCACGTCACACCCCCCCACCCCAAACCACGTCACCCCCCACCCACCTGAAACGCGTCGCCTCGTCATGAACCGCTCTCTTGTACCCATCCAAACCGCCACGTCATCTTCAACCCTCACCTTCCGCCACGTCACACCCTCCTGCATCCGCCACGTCCACCATCAACCCGCCCCACTTGCCACGTCACACCCCCCTACCACAAGCCACGTCACCCCCCACCCACCTGACACGCCTCGCTTCGTCATGCGCCGCTCCCGTGTACCCTTTCAAACCGCCACGTCATCCCCAACCCTCACCTTCCGCCACGTCACACCCTCCAACATCCGCCACGTCCACCAACAACTCGCCCCACTTGCCACATCACAACCCCCCACCCCAAGCCACGTCACCCCCCACCCCCTTGACACGCCTCGCCTCGTCATGCGTCGCTCCATTGTACCCTCCATAACCGCCACGTCATCCCCAACCCTCACCTTCCGCCACGTCACACCCTCCTGCATCCGCCACATCCACCAACAACCCGCCCCACTTGCCACGTCACCCTCCCCCACCCCAAGCCACGTCACCCCCCACCCACCTAACACGCGTCGCCTCGTCATGCGCCGCTCCCTTGTACCCTCCAAAACCGCCACGTCATCCCCAACCCCGCCCTGGTTGCCACGTCAACCCCAACCCGCCCCATTTGGCCCGCCACATACCGGGAATGGGTTTGTCTCCTGCAACACTAGCACTCGTGCCTTGTCCACGGCACTTATCGGCGGCGGGGTACCAGCCATAGGCACCACTGCGGACCCCCCGGCATAACTGGCAGGTGCTCCACGACGCAGGCCGAGCTGAGCAAACATGGCGTACATCTCAGACCGTAGCGCCCGGAACTCCTCCCGTGTAACAAACTGCTCGTGCTCCGCACTTTCACCTAGGGCACCCATGAGATTGGGAACAGGGTGTGAAGAATCCCCCCTCTGGCCAAGGGGATCAACGTCTTCTGCACCAGTCCCCTGTGCCCTCACACTATCACGCTGGCGGGAAAAGGGCAGCTCAGGGAAGGGATTGGCAGAAGTGCTTGGCTCATGCCCGCGCGAAGGACCGGCGAGGGGGGAGACCGCCCTGCCCCGGACAGGAGAAGCGTGGAGCTGCCGATATGGGTATGAGGGTGAGGCGAGTGGGGAGTGCGTGACGTGGCCTGGTGGAGGGGATTCGGTTTCCTCTCCTCTTGGTGCGCCGGGTGCTGTAGCAGCGACTTTAGACGGGCCGGAGTATGGCGTGTAGAACCTTGGGGCTCCTGTGGATAGCGGGGTAACACTCTCTCTTCCGGCCCCCTTCGTTAGCTGCATCTGTTGCACGCTTACCGGTGACCCAATGCCTGTAACACGAGGGGCTGAGATTTATAAGGAGCAGGAGCACAGAGTTGGAGTCGATTACGTTCAATACAGGGGCACACATGCATGCATACGAGCAGCGGTTTGAATCTAAATCGGGTTTAGCAGGGTACTGTTTTGTAAAAAGAGGCCTTACCTTGCTTTGCAGATTTGTCGACCTTGTCCTTCCCTGCAGGGGAGAAACAATGTGCAGAATGGTGTTAATTGGCACGGTTGAGCAGAGAGTACGACAGCCACGCCATGTGTATGGGCCACAGTGCTTACCTCGCTGCTGTCCCTTCGGTTTTTTTGCTGCCTGCGCCTTCTCGTTGCCACCTTTCCGCGGGGTGCTTTGGCGGCCGCTGCGACGTTTACCGACATGTTCTTTCTTGCCGGAACCCACTGAAACCCCTTTGGCGCGGCCACCCTTTCCTTCTCCATCCCCTTTTGCGCCCTGGCTCCCTTGCTTTTTACCACCCCCTTCAGTTTCGACCTTCACTTTACGCGCCTTCGATTTGCCCGCTGCTTCGCCACGCGGTCCGTCAACTGCCCCGCGTTTTCGGGAATGGCGAGTCCGGCCCCCCACCTTCCCTGTACCACTCCCCCGTCTGCCTCGCCCGCCCCGTCCCTTCACTGCCACCACATCCTCCTCCTCTTCCTCTTCCGCCCCTTCCTCCTCATCCTCCTCCTCCTCCTCCTCGTCCTCCTCCTCCTCCTCCTCCTCCTCCTCCTCCTCCTCCTCCTCCTCCTCCTCCTCCTCCTCCTCCTCCTCATCCTCCTCATCCTCGTCGCCCCCCTCCTCCTCCTCCTCCTCCTCCTCCTTCTCCTCCTCCTCCTCCTCCTCCTCCTCCTCCTCCTCCTCCTCCTCCTCCTCATCCTCCTCATCCTCGTCGCCCCCCTCCTCGTCCTCCTCGTCCTCCTCCTCCTCTTCGTCCTCCTCATCATCATTCTCATCTTTTTCCTCCTCCCCAACATCCGCGTCCTCCTCTTCCGCATCCTCTTCATCCTCCTCTCCTCCTCATCCTCCTCCTCATCAGCCTCCTCCTCCTCATCCCCCTCATCCCCCTCATCCTCCTCCTCCGCATCATCAGGGTCTTCTTCGCCCCGTTTCGGCCTCTTCCCCCTCGCTGCTTGCTTGCCCCTCCTTCCGCCGGATGTTTTCCTCGCTCCGGGTCGGCCCTTCTGGCGCAAGGCATGACCCGTCGCCTTGCCACTTGCTTCCCTGGCGCCTCGCATTGTCCCAACTTCCGCACCACCGGCGTCGTCAGCACTGCCTGTCGTCTGCCGCCTCTTCGCCCGCGTAGTGATGTCCCCGGCCACGGCGGTGTCATACTCTTCCTCCCCATCGCTCTTCCTCTGCCTACGCCTCCCACGTTCACCAGAAGGAGGAGAGCCACGGACCTCGGCGATGCCGTATTTAGGATCCTCCATAGAATCGTGCTCCCCCGCCTTGTGCTTATCTACCACGGCAGCAGAAACTTCGACCACGGTCGGCTGGAGCAGCGTCAGATGGTGTTGCGATGCCTCCGCCTCGGACTCCTGGGTTGCGGCATGCTCGGCGCGGGGAGCGTCGCCGTGGTTTCCCCCTGTCGTCGAGCCCTCTCTCTCCGCCGACGGGACTGCAAGACTCACACTCCCTCGCCCCGGATTTTCTTTGCCGCCGATGGTGCCGTCGTTAGTCGGGCCGGGCTCGGTTCCACCAGAGGCAACATCCGCATCTTTTTTCATGGTAGAAATACGCTTGCGTGGCGTTGGTTGCTTCCCCTTGTCTTCCGCCTTCTTCCCGGACCTCTCCTGTCCAAGCGCGGCCTTTTTTCCCGCCACGTTTTTCTGTTGACTGCCACGCGCGGCGGACGCATTAGTAGCTTTAGATCCGCCACCACCCTCCCGATCGGTCTGAAGAGACAGCCTCCTTGTCGCGCGTCGTCCGGCATGTTCCTCCTCCTTTTCTTTTTGCCGAGTTGCACGTGTCATGGTTGTAGTACGAATGCTAATTTCTAACGTGCGGAACGGTTGAGCCGGTTTCCTAGGGGAACCGCAAAGGAATCTAACGAAATAGTAGTCACTACGCACAGAGCTACGGCCCATTACTTAGTCGACTAGTGAGTCACGGGCGATCTGGAAACGCCTTTGTCAAACAGCGAGTAGCATCAAAGTTGTGGGCCAGAGGGTGACGGAAGCAGGTGGGTGGGGCACGAGGGTGGTTGGGGTGGCTTGCGAGACTAGAGAGATGACTGTAATCAGATCAGGCTAGATCGGACAGTGTACGTTTAGCCACCCGATCATAAACCCACTCGCCGCTCGATCACAGCCGCTTCAATGGCGGATGTACCGCTTGGCTGGTGCTTGTGTTGCGGGAGGGGTCGTTTGAGATGCGTCGGCCAATCAGTGTTGCCAACGCATCAATCACTGCACATGCTAGAACGGTTTATGAACCACTAGAGCGAATGTAACCTAAACCCTGCAAAGTACAGTGCTGACGCGAACGAACAACGTTGCACATACAAGCTAAATAAAATTCAGAACTACAACAAATACAATCATCAAGGCATTCGTTGCTAATGTAATAGTATGGGGTTGTAGTAAGGTAGTGGGTTTGTCTCATGTCACACACACAAAGAGCGTCCAGAACAATTACTTCTGACAATTGTACTAAGCACACGTAGGCTATGCCACAACGGTTACTAAACCCTGGACGATATTCTAACACGACGATCACTAGTGCCAAACGGGAAACAGTTGTGGTATGGTATTGTATTGGGCACAACTCTTGCATGGACCTTCAACAAGGTGCATAAAGGGGGTGGTATGAAGCACAGGGCTAACGCTCAAGCGGTGATGTGTTACCGACAGCCATGTTTCGACAGGGCGACGTTGCAGCGTTCAGGCCCATGTGTTGCGCGACATGGTGAAACCGTTGTGGTATGGTATTGGATTGGGCTCAAGTCTTGCATGGACCTTCAACAAGGTGCATAAAGGGAGTGGTATGAAGCACAGGGCTAAAGCACAAGCGGTGATGCGTTATCGACAGCCATGTCTCGACAGGGCGACGTTGCAGCGTTCAGGCCCATGTGTTGCGCGACATGGTGAAACCGTTGCGGTATGGCGTTGGATTGGGCTCAATTCTTGCATGGAACTTCAACAAGGTGCATAAAGGGAGTGGTATGAAGCACAGGGATAAAGCACAAGCGGTGATGCGTTATCGACAGCCATGTCTCGACAGGGCGACGTTGCAGCGTTCAGGCCCATGTGTTGCGCGACATGGTGAAACCATTGTGGTATGGTGTTGGATTGGGCTCAATTCTTGCGTGGACCTTCAACAAGGTGCATAATGGGAGTGGTATGAAGCATAGGGCTAAAGCACAAGCGGTGATGCGTTATCGACAGCCATGTGTCGACAGGGAGACGTTGCAGCGTTCAGGCCCATGTGTTGCGCGACATGGTTAAACCGTTGTGGTATGGTATTCGATTGGGCTCAATTCTTGCATGGACCTTCATCAAGGTGCATAAAGGGAGTGTTATGAAGCACAGGGCTAAAGCACAAGCGGTGATGCGTTATCGACAGCCATGTGTCGACAGGGAGACGTTGCAGCGTTCAGGCCCATGTGTTGCGCGACATGGTTAAACCGTTGTGGTATGGTATTGGATTGGGCTCAATTCTTGCGTGGACCTTCAACAAGGTGCATAAAGGTAGTGGTATGAAGCACAGGGCTAAAGCACAAGCGGTGATGCGTTATCGACAGCCATGTTTCGACAGGGCGACGTTGCAGCGTTCAGGCCCATGTGTTGCGCGACATGGTGAAACGGTTGTGGTATGGTATTGGATTGGGCTCAATTCTTGCATGGACCTTCATCAAAGTGCATAAAGGGAGTGGTATGAAGCACAGGGCTAAATCACAAGCGGTGATGCGTTATCGACAGCCATGTGTCGACAGGGCGACGTTACAGCGTTCAGGCCCATGTGTTGCGCGACATGGTGAAACCGTTGTGGTATGGTATTGGATTGGGCTCAATTCTTGCATGGACCTTCATCAAGGTGCATAAAGGGAGTGGTATGATGCAAAAGGCTAAATCACAAGCGGTGATGCGTTATCGACAGCCATGTCTCGACAGGGCGACGTTGCAGCGTTCAGGCCCATGTGTTGCAAGTCATCGTGAAACGGTTGTGGTATGGTATTGGATTGGGCTCAATTCTTGCATGGACCTTCATCAAGGTGCATAAAGGGTGTGGTATGAAGCACAGGGCTAAATCACAAGCGGTGATGCGTTATCAACAGCCATGTTTTGAAAGGGCGACGTTGCAGCGTTCAGGCCCATGTGTTGCGCGACATGGTGAAACCGTTGTGGTAAGGTATTGGATTGGGCTCAATTCTTGCATGGACCTTCAATAAGGTGCATAAAGGGAGTGGTATGAAGCACACGGATAAAGCACAAGCGGTGATGCGTTATCGACAGCCATGTCTCGACAAGGCGACGTTGCAGCGTTCAGGCCCATGTGTTGCAAGTCATCGTGAAACCGTTGTGGTATGGTATTGGATTGGGCTCAATTCTTGCACGGACCTTCAACATGGTCCATAAAGGGTGTGGTGTGAACCCAACGGCTAACGCACAAGCGGTGATGTGTTGTCGACAGCCATGTTTCGACAGGGCGATGATGCAGCAATCAAGGGTTTGGTTTGCATCCGACGCTGAAACCGTTGTGTTATTGTATTGGATTGGGCTCAATTGTTGCATGGACATTCAGCACGGTGCATAAAGGTCCACTAAACCTCTTGAGAAGTGACGATATACATATTCGGTTCATGCAACAATCTTACGTTAGGGCACAGAGTTGTTGGGTACTTCCCGTATGTTTTCAGACCACATTAGAGAACTGGGAGGGTTTACAAACACTGCCGTTGTCAATTATGTTATGTGATGCTATCATTTGCATTCACGTCTGTCTGCCTCCCATCATATGTTCGTGCGTTGCGAGGTGTGAGCGTGTGCAAGAATTTGTGTTTGGTGTGGTTTGGATTCTCTGAGTGTGTGTGGATGTTATTCTACTTGAGCAGATATCTGAAATGACTTCTGCTCAAGAGCTTTCCGACGAACCAAGGATCGCTTCAATCGGAGCAAGAACGAGAAAGATATGATCGTTCGAAGTTTTGATTGTGATGCCGCGACTATGGGAATTTGCGGAGTGACTCAATATGGGGTACAGACTTTTGGGGGTTGGGAAATTCGTCACTTCTACTGTAGTTGCTGCCATGTGGTTGGGAAAAGCCAAACCAGGTTGGCAAGTGTGGCCAAGTTGGGTGAGGTTGATTTGGGAGGTTGGGAAAATGACAAGGGTGGAAGTTGGGTGCCTATAGGGAGGGAAATTGTGTGGTATGGGGTTTCCTTGGTTGGGGACTCCTTGGGGACCTTCCCTCTCGTACTCCTCTCCCCTCCTACCTGGTTTATTGCAACTCTAACTTTCTTGTGTGGCATCTTGTGAGTTAATTGTGATTGAGTTAAGTTGATATGGCAGCATACCCCCTAGTGCGCCGAAATTCATAACTCAAGAAATACTTCACCTTTTTGTACGATTCAAATTGGGAATTGTAGCCACGGACGAGGGCTGCAACATATCTGAGTTTGGTGAACTCGACGTTTCTGTCCAGAATTATAGTTCAACGATTTTGAGTAATTTCGGTCCCTATTCTACATAGACTCCGTCCTTAATCTCTAACAAGTAGTATCAGAGCTGATTAAGGACTTTGTGACGAGTCTACTGAGGTGTGAAGACCCTCCTAGACCCACCATGGCCTGTGGGCGTGCCTAAGTGGAGTTCTAGAGGTTGCATGTGACTTCCGCTAAGGGGAAACTCTGCCGAAATTTCGTTGGCGCCGACACTTGTGGAAATTGAGTGGGACTTCGGTGTGGACAGCAAAGAGGGAGCTCGAACCTGCGATTGGGAGCAGAGGAGATGAATCAAGGGAGTGGAGATACAGCTGAGAAGAAGAATGAGCCGCCACCATCCAAGATTGAGGCATTGGATGGCTCCAACTATGAGGAATGGAGCGAGCGGATGCGGAGTGCGTTTAAGCGCTACAAGCTGCTGAAACTTGCGATGGGAGAAGAGAAGATGCCGGAGGAAGGCGATGTTCGCGATCGGTGGATTGAGAAGAGCGCGGTGCTGTACGACCTCATCCTACAATCGGTCAACAACGACATGTTCCAGCACATCAAGGATTTGGTGGAGTTGGATGATTCCGGACCGAAGGCGTGGAAGCTGCTACGCGACGTGATTCAGCCCAACACGCTGCCGATGGTGATTGTGTTGGAGAAGGAGCTGGCTGCTCTCTGCATGCGACCGGGAGATGATGTGAAGCCAGTATTGGACAAGATTAAGGACACCTACGCGAGGATGGCAGCAGCGGGCAGCAATGTGTTGCAGATGTAGCAGTGCACCAAGATCATCTCGGTACTTGACAACACATGGGACAACCTCATCCCCACCCTCAACACTCAGCAGGACCAGTGGACGCCTGAGTGGCTACGGTAGCAGATTCTGCAGGAGGACTTCCGCATGCGCCACACGGGAGGTGGTGCTACCAACAAAACTACTGAGCGGTATGGAGCTGCAGGAGGCAGCAGAGGAAGAGGGGGTGGGAGAGGCCGAGGCCGTGGAAGAGGCTTTGGCAGAGGGAGAGGCCGAAGTGACTATAATGAGGGGCATGTGAGCTCTGGAGGCAGGGGGAGTACCCGAATGGAGGGAGAGTGCTGGTACTGCAAGAAGGCTGGACATCCATGGTTCAAGTGTTTCAGCCGACCTGAGGGATGGGCGCCCCCAGGCATGAAGCCGCCAAGTGGTGAACGTGCACGAGGTGGCGCTGTGCAAGGTTCAGGTGCACAAGGTGATGGTGCACAAGGTAAAGCCGACCCTGGGATGTTCTTCATGGTTGAGGATGTGAAAGGGAGTGAGGATGATGTGGGTTCAGTTGGGAAGG